GTTGACTCTCCAATTTGGCTACGCGTCGCTCAAGTGTGATTTGATTGACGTATAGCAGCCACATCTTATCGAGAAAGCCAATTTACAACAAAGTGTCAAAATACATACGAGAAGGCTCGGTTGGTGTTTGCCAGCCTGTTTCACTTCAGTCACTTCCAGAACCTTAATTTCCCTTTGTTAAGAAGGTTAGCTCACAGAAATCCGCAAGAAATATCGCGAACAACGTTGATATCGAATCGACCTTGTGAATCTTCGAATTTCTGAATTTCTTCGACCCAACCGATTATCTGCCCTTGCATATCATAATTCTGGAGGTTCTTCAGCAGCACTTCGTGGTTTATGCGAGCAAATGTTTTGGAACAGTCAAGCTGCCTTGCAACTGTTTCACCTTGATCAGTTGCTTTTGTTCATTCATCTCGGGCCGTTAGCAAATTGAAGGCACGCGGTCGGTTTTGCTGAATCCCGCTTTTGTGCTTGGGAATATACGTTTTGTTTCCTCACATGATCCATCACAAAGCCTAAAACAATGGATTCCATAGCTTTTGATAGCACAAGAAGAAAAGGGATAGAGCCGTAGTTAGCCAGGTTAATATGAATATCACCGTCGTTTTTAAGCGAAATTATTGCTTATTCTCATTAATGTGAAACATGGTGCTGCTGTTGAGCGTTCGTTGGAATTGCTCACTTTGTGATTCAGCTATGTGACTTACCAGAGTAAGTAGGGTTTGCGGATATTGTATCTGTCTGTTATTGAAATTTTCCTGAAAACCCATACCTTCGTTCTGAGGGAAAATAATTCTCCCCAGGGTTGAATGTGAAAAGTGATGTAGCAACAGAGGGAGAGGGTCGTTGTCCAACATTTAGCACGTACGGTTAACAACATTGACGTGCAGCATTTCAGTTGCCTATGTTACTGGGATGTAATGTACCTTGCTAAACTTACTGCTGGGGCGCCGTACTTGACTTTTCGTGTGGCAGTTTTGATTGGTATGAACCTGTGCGCCAGATTTGCTTTGTACATCAACTTGCCTTTCCATATCATTCCTGCAACGGTTTCACAGTAAACTGTAGGTAAATCACTTTCACAAGTGAACTGATTGTATTCTAACTGGGTGAAACTCCTCTGTGAAATTTACTTCTTTCCACTGCGAACGAGTGATCTTCAGGTTGTTTGGCATGTGATGTATTTGATCCTTGTCACAGCCGTCACCCGTTCTGAAAGATTATTCTTGCCAGGATGCCCCAAGATAACACTGATCCTTGGGGTAACTTATCAAATGTCTTTCCTAAGGACCTAATCTCTATTCAATGAACATACGACCATTGTCCACAGGAATTTATAATACAGAAGCGTAACAAATACGGTCGAATGACAAACAATACATTCCCCTTGACTGCGCCTCACGGCGGCCTGGTTGCAACTGATTTCTCCACGAGTTCCTTGTTTGTTAACACTTTATCGAAAGTCAAACGTGCTTACTCCCTTCTCATGACTGTAAAAAAAATGAAATTCAATGAAATCCATTATCTGATGCTCAGAAGTTAACATGCACCTTGACACTCGAGCTTAGGGCGATCGCTTTCAATCAGTGTCACACCAGATGGCGCAACCCGGAGTCCAGAATGTAGATGGTCAGTCCAGTTTGGTTAGCAGCACTAATGTTCCGGCGACCTGTTTGGCAAGGTGGTTCCATCTACAAAAATCTGACGAAACTCTAGTTATCGGTCAACAAAGAGTTCAACCGTTGACGAGAGAAATCCTTTTAGGGTACGAAAGATTAACTAAGCTGACTAATTCATAATCGGTTCGGAGAAGTGAATTTTTTGGGTCTGGTCTTTAGGTTAGGGTAAGAAACATGATTTCTGAGATAATGCAAACAGTGTGATGGTGATATTTTCCACCGGAGGATAACTTATTAGTCCTGAAATCGCTTTGGTCTCCATTTTCGTACTACATGTGTAAGATTGCTGCATCTATCTCCGTTGTTCTTGAGTTACCTTGTTTAGCACTCAACTCACATACTCCAAATTCTTTGGTTTAACCAAATTATGCTCTTTCTCACCCCACTCGGGGTGCCAGACTGCATCTTTGAATGTTCCCGCTAAATTATAAAGTGCATTATTGTTTTCCGTTTCAAACTGTATAACAAAAGTTTTCTTCATAGCCTTCCGGTTTTTACGTTTTCTATCACCGTCTTTGCTCTTGATGAATTTAAGGTCTTTGATATGCTGTCAGTTATTTTATTTGCTGTCTTTTCTGCTAGTTATCTGAACTCTGCATTATCACATGATCATCCAGGGTGTTTTGTTGAGGATGTGCATTTCCTGGTTATCGAATTACCTGTTCTGGAATAATTGTTCCATTCGCTTCTTAATCAATATTGACCGATATATCATAAACTAACAGCACGCACATAGACGCCTTGGTATGAGAACTAAGCGGACTTCCATTTTCTACCCACCGAAAAACACGGTCTTCCGTTCAGAACTTGATAAAGTTGATGTTAGTAGAGTGGTTCGAACTACTGACTCTACTGTGCCTTTTTATGGGCATTTTTCTTATACTTGATATTACCTCCAGTCGTTGATGATGGTTGTCGCTTATCCCAGTAATCTGTGAAACTCTGCGAGTAGTCAAACTTTATAGCATGTCAAATATGATTGAACTCGCCCTAGCTTTGAAGCAATTCATCATTTACATTCTGCGGAGCAACCCGTCATATGGCTGATGTTTCGGACACATCACACATCACCTATCGGTCCGGGGATCTCAGTGTCAATCCGTGACGAACGGGTTGATTTATACGCAAATACGTAGAAGTTTTTCATGAATAAGTTCCTGGGTAAAAACGAAAATTTGGATGGAGTAGGAATCTAGACTGTTCCCCGGAAGAAGTCATATCTTCCATCAATTGATAATTCATTGAAAATGCATAAACCTTAGTCGGTCTTGTGAACCTAGTCGCGAAACAACGGTTCTGTAAATGTTAGTGCCATGCTTAAGTGCAAGTTAATTGGTGCCATCCGAAGTATCTGTGCTCTAATATGAAGTCATTGTTCAGTCACCGTGAGATACATTTAAATAAACCATTGTACCATGCATACACTTCAACTTCGATCGACCTCACGTGAACCTAAAACCATTGTTGGTAGTCAAAGGCTAGCCGGGCTCCATGTGTGACTGACGTTATTCTGTTTGAGATTGGTTCTCCAGTAGAGGTGCAGTCGCATAACTGGTAAACTTTACGTACTACCCGTTTGAGAATTTTCTTGACTAAGGTTGCTTTTTCTTTTGTTGATTCACATAAAGTCTGTTCGTACGTTATGGGTTAAATTTTGTTCGGACTAATTTTTACCATCATTGTCACCAAAAATCACATTCATCGTTTTCTTTCCATGGCTTGGTATTAATCAAAAATCGATTACCTGGTCGCCCGGAAGGGATGAGAGAAGTGATTGCGATAACCACGATGATTCTGTCTTCCCCGAAATCAACATTTTTTCACCGGCTTAAAAAATAAATCTATAATCCAATAATAAAACATCATTTAAGCGATGCTAGTCAGGTTATCATAGCAAAGGCCCCGAGGTGTGTTCGAATCGCACCATCAACACCCATCTGCCTCATTTCTGTATTACTCCAATGTCCTCTGATCGACTGAACCCGCGTTCATGATAATTGACTGTATACTTGTACCTTCAAAAAATAAAACTAAAACTAAAAGACTTAAAAAGACCATTGCTCTTAAACTTATTCTTTGAGGGGTATGGTTAACGCTCAAAGTCAGCAAATAATATTGAACAATACTCATACTAAAATGCTAAAATTGACATCACATGTAAAACGGTAGCCTATTGTGGTAACCCTTTATGGAAACGCTTCTATGATAATAATTTCACCCAAGCTGCTTCCAGTGGATGTGGGCAGCACACTTCCAACTCAATTTTTGGGGGCAATCACTGAAGTTAAATGGTTGTAGACAAGATGAAACAGCGTAATCAGCTACCCGTTGATCAAGTGGTTATTATACTTCTGTCCTGTCTGTGAGGTCACCAGTTTGATGCATGGTGCGATTGATAAATTCACTAAGCCGACGGTATCTAACGGCCGCATAGGGTTTCCAAGAATTTTGAGGTAATATGTTTTCCCCGGTGTGCGATGGATTGCAATCCGTAACCAAACTGAGTCATCCACCATTTCCCACAAGTATCTCAGATAGTCTTGCCGTTCACTGCGTTTGAATTCCGTTGAAAGCTTTACCACCGTGTAAAACTAATAATTCACGCTTACTCCAGTCACTAGAAGCTAGGTTTATTGAAATTCAGCCGGAGTGCAGCGAACTAGCCAATCTCATTAAAATTACGAATTTATTGTCCAAAGACAACAATAGCAGATTATTGAACCTAACAGGTACTAAGATTTGCACAGACGCCATAACACTCAAGTACCAAAGGCTCCTATTGTGTCGTCAGAAGGAGGTCTAAGTCATTTAGGGATTACCCTGATAACCACCTAAGCGGAAGAGTGAAATGCTACCATGTTAGGTTATTAACACTTGTGATATGCAAAATGTGTTGTATTCTGCAGTAACCACCAGCTGAAATGCATCGAAGTGATTCCGGAATTAAGCTGCGCTCTCATACAGTATTGTGTTCTTTGTTAGAACCTGACTATCTCCTGGTTATTTTTTTCATGTAGCTCGTGATTCCAAAGCATTTTGTATTTATGTGTGCCAATTCGTGACCTTCATAACAGCATTTACGATAAGTGATACACGATCTTCCATGTGATTCACTAATCCGTCTAAATTTATCGATCATAGCAGTTGGCTGTCAAAAAGCAGTCATCGTGTGGATGTACATGTTACACATGCGGCTAACTCATTCCATCTTTTGACTGAACCCCCCCTCCAATCTTTGAGATAAATAATGTTATATTCGCTTCATTTGAACCGATTTTGACCGACGTTTACGTTCATGCTCTTCTTCTCACATGACAGGCTCACCGTCAAACTACTGAGGCGGAGTTGGCTCGCCTAGCTCATGAACGTCGTTCTGTCCAGGCTGACCTGGACGCACTTCAGATGCATTATGATGCATTGTTGGGGCGACGTGCCACCGCGGCCAAAGAACTGAGCGCGCAACCTATTCATTTACCCAGTGATAAGACAGATTTGGAACTCCTTGCCCTACGGATGTACGAGGAAAATTTGTCCCTACGGTGAGTCTGTCTATCATATGGTGTGCACATTGATCTCTCTGATGCCTCTGTATCTGGTCTCGATTTACTGGGGTGAAAACACTTGAAGTTGTGAGTTATATCTGGAATGCATTTCATTTGCCGACAAGCGGCTGAATCACTAGTACATAAAAAAGTAATCTAAATAATGAGTAAAAGTTTTTCATCCCTAAATAACTAAAACCACTGGTGAACGCTCATTCAAATCATAGTTCGCTGTTAGCTTTACGTTTTGTCAACAAACAATCAACGAATTGCAGTATAAGAAACAAGCCCCTTGGTCCAAAGTGCTATTATGCTTACAGAGTATGTGAGAGTGAGAGCGAGACAAGAAAAATATAATGTCCAGAAAGAACACTGAAATACGTAGAAATGCGAAGAAAACTCCAGAAATCGGAAGAAGTATCACGTTTGAAAAAGCAGACAGACAATGGGTCTTTTAATCATGGGTTTACCTCTTCTACTAAGTAAATAATTAGCGTTTTTTGCGATGTTGAGTGTCACCTCGTTAGGTGAACCCCAAGCTGTTATACGGTCACGATTGAAGTCTGTTGATATATACATGTCTAATAGAACGTGATGAGTGATTTTTGTTTTCACTTTTATTGATTACACACAACCATATCAACAAGTTTCAGGTGGGCGGAAGCGATCAATCAAAGGAGTGTTTACGAAATGGAGCCAGTGAGTATGAAAAAAGTGACATCAGCCGAAAGAAAATGAATGGTATTAGATTTGCAGGATAGGTCATTCATGGAAGTGGTCGAACTAGTGTTGATTAGAGCTTGAAACCTTCCGGAACCTCTGAAGATACGTGGCGACTGTCTGTGGATTTGAAAAAAATGCAGGTGAAAGCCATCAAATCTTGATAGTACGGCCGCTGTTTGTTCGCAACTGCTTACTTGGTGCTGTGAACCGCAACTAATTCCCGAAAACTTGACTTACTTTACGGCAACTGATTCCTCCGTTTCTGTTCTTACAACCATTAACCATGTAATTTCGTGCGCCCGTTTTGATTGCTGTCTTTTGTTCGCCCATTTGGAAGAAAAGCAGAATGAAGATTGGAATGTTAAGAGCAGACTTAAGGGCAAGATAGGGAATTCATACAGGTTGGGGTTTCAGGAATAAGGAGTAGATGCACAAGCGACACTCATCCATATTGCCCACTATCTCTAATCGCCGGTTACCATTATCTCGGGGTTCCCACTCAAGGAGCCTAACGAGACCTATGTGACTCAGTGTCCTAGCGAGGGTTTTCATGCCCTCATGCCAGATCTTAGTTTGACCACTTAACGTTTTTCCATCCGCTACCTGCTTCGGCAAAAATCGCTCTCCGTGGCAGCCTATTTGGTGACATGCGTAACACATGTCCCGACCAGCGCAATCTGTGGAGGTCGAACACGTGTTCCAGTGGTCGATGTGATTACCTCAAACTCCTCGCCTAATCTCAGCATTGCTCGTCCGGTTTCCCTCGTGCAACGAGACGTAGACAGCGGTGTTCGAACACTGAAAATCTATTGGTACCCTGCTCTCGTAATGGTCAATTCTCTGTACCGTAAACCAGGACTGGCCGAACTGCTGCAGCGTACACTCGACTGTTCACGACAGTGCGGATGTCGGGACGGCTCTGCAGATGTCTCAAGTTTGCAGATATCAATCGAGCCTTTTCTATGCGTGCCAACACTTCATCTGTGACTCGTCCGCCAGGTGAGATATAACCGCCCACATAGCAAAATTGATCTACTTCCTTTAACTACTTCTTCAGTTAGAGTGAGTTTGTGGGCTGGGTCAACCGACTCTTGTAGCAACATTTTACACTCTGAAGGTGCAAAACACATATCAAGCATACATGAATCAGTATTCAAACTATCCAGAAAAGCTTGCAACTTATCTGGATCTTAGCCGCACAGTGTCGTCTGCACACTCCACATCAGAAAATGTCATCTGGGAACAAATCGATACCATTATCCTTGCTTAGTAATAGACGGTTGATTATGATCAGCAAAGCTGAGCAGTCTGTCATCGTTCTCGCAACGCTGTTTCGGATCAAACTTCCATATAATCGAACTTGTGGTCTCTTCGTGTAGGGCGTTTTGAGCGTTCTAGTCCCCATCTACGACAAATACATTCCTTTTGGGTACTTTAATAACAGTTGGTTCAATATTGTCATAAAACTCATCCTTGACATTATCAGATGGAAGTTGAACTGCCTATGGCGATTACTGTAAGGTTCATCGGGTGACCCTTGAATCTTGCTACTGCAATCCTAGAGGATACCGGTTTCCAGGAAAGTAAAGCATTATTAGCCCGATGGCTTAAAGCAAATGCCACTCCGTAATGACTTGACTTTTCATTACCGTTGTGATACAAGCACATTTGACTATCAGTACCGAGGCCCAATAGCCTAACTTCAGACAGATATGCGATGTCCAGATGATAGTTGTTCAGCTTGCATATTGTTAGTATCTGGTTCACAGAGTCTAAAATTGTTCGGACCTTCCGACGTCCTACGTAAGGTGATTTTTTTCAGTTTTCGGTGTCCAGTTCGCATTCTGGTCACCCTAGTCACTAGAGGAGCGCAGGGCACCACTTTCTGGGAAAGCCGTAGCATGATTAATGGGACAATTTAGGTGATTGTCCATGAAGTGTCTTGGGAGTGTAGATACAGGAAACGGCCCAATCATCAGCGGGCCTTAGCACATACAAGAGTTAACCGCAAGATGGCTAAATGCGTTTGGACCTTGTAAACAGTAAGGATTAATGAGTAGACGAAAAGTGTCTTGGGGTGGAATAAATGGGAAAGTTATGTAGATGCACATAATGCGAATTACGTGGTATGGTTGATATTATGATGAGAAACAAGAAAATTGCAGTTCGGGTAAAATCAATGATCTTTCGAATTAGTATAATAAGGAAAAAGAATAGATTGACAGTAAACGCTGTGCTTTTATAGAGTTGAAATGTCCTTGTGGAGCCACTTAGCTGGGTGTTATGTATACAATACGCATATTAGGTTTGGATTCAGAAAAGCATACATACGCAGGGTGATCTTGGCAGACATGGACGGAAGTTGTGCGGATTGCTACTGTGTAACGTGGTGTTTCCGGTCATTGAGTAATCGCGATAGTTGTCTGGACAAAAAGAAGTTGAATGGAGAGCAAATTAAACCTAGTAAAAGACCATAAATCACAAGAAATGCGGTTACCAGAACGCCATCGGTAATCCTGACATTCCTTGATTGTCTCCGGGAGTTCTTCTATCTTTGTAATAAGATCCGAGATGCAAATCGAACTTTATGCGTTTAACCCACATCCGCTGTGTCAAGCATGTCAAGCACTTAAGATATCGAGGGAAATCAGATGTACTACTCCATAACGTCAAACGTCCAAGGTACCCGATACACGACAATGCCCAATCGAGCGTGTGATCACTGCCAAAACCGGGTAGGTGTGTGTAGTTCGTGCGCCTTTTCTTGGTT